TCCTACCACAGGCCAAGTATGACTCTCAAGCCCCAAAGGCTTCACAGCCCTGCTGCACATCATGTGTTTCCTAGGTTTATAGAGATTTCCTAAATGTTTAAAAGTGGGGGGGGGACTTTGTTTCTTTAAGGATGGGCGGACAAAGTTCTTTGCTATCTAAAAGCATAAAAGATTCTTGGCAGCTATATTGAGCAGGGTCTGTTTTGTGAAGGAGGCATTTCTAATATTTAAATTGACATCTGAAATCGGCAACTGGCGGACCAAGGGCCAAATCTCACCTCCTGGGGAATGTAGGTTTACAATTATCAAAGGCAAAAACAAGCATAGTTAGAGAACTATTCGTGCCCGTGGGATTGTTGAGTTACCCAATTTGGGGAACAAGAAGGTGGTGGTCTGGCTAGGCATCGCCTACCTTTTTTCAGAATGACCTGGAAGTTTAAAAGGTAATTTTCAGAGAAGCAGAAGTAGCCAAACGTGTGGAAAACCACATTGGCAGAAAAATCAATAAGGCATAAAAGAGTTATGAAAAATCTTATACAGTAGAACAGAGTTCCCCAACGTATGCGGCTTTGCGGACCAGTGGGGGGGGTGAGAAGGGATAGTTCTCCACAAGCGGCCGGCAATCACACACAGCTCCATTTGCGCGAATGGTGTGTATGTGCACCTGCTGCTCACACAAATGGAGGGTGCGCACACACATGCTCGCCTGCTGCCTGCGCAAGCGAAGATGTGCGCATGCTCACGCTCGCCGGCCATTTCCGTGGCTGCAAACCCCTGACTAGGGGGCCACGGCCCACAGGTTGGAGACCTCTGCAGTAGAAGATACATTTAATCAAATCTGGTCATGATATCAGATACATTAAAAATATTTTTCCATTATTTTTATCCTTAGCTATATACATGTCATTAAATTGACAGGAACAGGAATGATTCCAATGTTTCCTTTTAGAACATCTTAATCTTAACTTATATATTTCTAATTACCGTATGCAGGTAGTCCTTATGACCAACATTTCTGTTGCTAAGTAAGATATTTATTGAGTGAGTTTTGCTCCATTTTACAATCTTTCTCGCCAAGGCAGTTAAGTGAATCACTGCAGTTGTTAAATTACTAACTAAATCTGGCTTCCTGTTGCCTTTGTTTGTCAGAAGGTTGCAAAAGGGGATCCCCAGAGACTCTGTAACAGTCATAAATATGAGCAAGTTGCAAGCAAGCATCTGAATTTTGATCACATGACTATGGGGATGCCATACTCTGAAAAACAGTCATAAGTCACTTTTTTCAGTGCTGTTGTAACTTTGAACAGTCACTAAACGGACTGTTGTAAGTCGAGGACTACCTGTATTTTTCTTTTGATTGTGTATACCTGTATAGTTTTGATGTTTAAATTATTACATTTTCTATATTCAGTTTGGAATCCATGCAATAAATAAAATACTCTTCTAAAAAGTGCCCTGTGCAATTAACTAGGGGTCAGGTCCAGGGTATGCAATTTGGGGGCTAAAGGCAACATCAGATTTGAAAGCTCTCTCATTTAGAGTAACTGCAGAGAGGTAGCAGCAGCCGCAGGAGACAACAGTGTGTTTCAGGAGAAATAAGCCTTTGCATTGAAAAAAGATCTGCAAATTGAACAATACAATTCACCACACCGTAAAACCTTGCTTAAAACTATGGCCATTGCCCTGATTTCTCCATTAGTTCACAGACGGTGGTTGTGTTAACCTAAATATGCACATGCCCCTTTTGAAAAGTCCATTAGCTCAAACTACCCGCCAGTCAATATGATGCTGTATTGATTTATGAATTCATGTCACACACACCCCATCCCCTCAGTGGAATAAAATAATCTGTATTGTCATTTGCCTGTATACACAACAGCACACATTAAAAGTGATTAAAAGGCATCAATTGGCTTCAACAATGTTTATGGAATGTCTATGGAATCCAAACTGGACTGATTTCTCAACCCACGCAAAACCGTTCCAAATCAAGAGTTGCTTCATAGGTCACAATTTTCATATCTATAGATAATCTATGTCAGAGACCAGTAACGTATTCAGGTGAAGGGTGTTTTTTAAAATTCTTTGTTGATGTTAAAGATACCAAAAAGAATTATACAATTCATTTTTAAATAGAGCAGTATTTATGAAATCTAATGTAGTAACAACAAGGGACCTGGACCAATATTTAATACAAAAACTGGAATTTTGGAGATTCTTGAATGCCATCTAGTGGTGCTCAGCTACTATACTAGCAAACACTACGCTGCTGATCCTCAAGCTATGTGAAAGAAAATTCACTTTATTATTTTCTGGGGCAGCAGGTTAAATTCCAGATAAACAAATCAGGCAACCCAAATATGTATACACTGCTAACATTCAAGCCAAAAAACATTTATGCCTATGAATTTAGGAAAACTGCTTTGTATGAATTCTTATTCAACATGAATACTTTTTCCTTGATAATGATTTGCCTGAATAACGGCATTACTTAGAACGATTGCTTGTAACAACATATTATCATGTATTCCTTTACTTGTTGTATATTTATCCAATTTTTGGACATCACTGCTTTCTAAAACAGATCACATCAATTAAAAGAAAAAGAAAAAAGACCTTGACCTCAGAGATAAAAATTAGGAAATGATTTTTTTCAAGATAGAATAAAGGGACAAGTCATAAGCCAGTTATTTATATTTGTTTCAACCGACGTAATCTTCACTTGTTCTATTGTGAACATAATGATGCTCCCCTTGAAGAGGGACGTGATCAGATGGTTGCCTTTCAGCTCTCCATAGAGCTGAAAGTCATAGTGCGACATTTAATAGGAACTAAGTAATGTCTGTGGAAAGCCCAAAGGTGCTTTTTCAGGAGGCAACTGGACTTTGTTTTTGTTTTGTTTTTATTATTATTATTATTATTATTATTATTATTATTATTATTATTATTATTATTATTATTATTATTATTGTTATTATTGTTATTGTTGTTGTTATTGTTGTTGTTGTTTTGTTGTTGTTATTGTTGTTGTTGTTAATAATAATAATAATAATAATAATAATAATAATAATAATAATAATAATAATAATAATAATAATAATAATAATAATAATAATAATAATGATAATAATAGTAAAGTTGGAAGGGACCTTGGAGGTCATCGAGTCCAACCCCCTGCTCAGGCAGGAAACCCTATACCATTTCGGACAAATGGCTGTCCAGTCTCTTCTTAAAAACCTCCAGTATTTTCTTTGAAGACGTTTCGCTTCTCATCCAAGAAGTTTCTTCAGCTCTGACTGGATGGTGGGGAATGGATTTATATTTCTTGCAGAAAGCTGGTCATTTGCATTCTTTTAGAGAGTGATTGAGGCCACTTGGAGGTTTATCTGTATCCTCAGGGATACAGATGTGTGTGTGGAGCCTTCTTGGCTGCAGGATGTTTTCTGCCCTCTGTCCCTTCGTTGTTGAAGACAGGCAACGCTATCGGGGATGAGTCTGTGTTGTCTGCATCTCAAACTGAAGCTCAAATGGTTCCTGTGGTCTGCAATATTTTCTGGAAATCTGTTCATAGTCCTGCACCATTCGAGGGTGTTCATCCCAAAGTGCATAACTAAATGTCTATGGAGATTCTCAGTCATCCAGCTCATGGTTGTTCCAAAGGTGCTTTTTCAGGAGGCATCTGGACTCTCTTGTTTTTCTGTCTTCTTTGTTTCACTTCTCATCCAAGAAGCTTCTTTACCTCGGAGTAGATGGTGGGGAATGGAAGGATTCCATTTTCAGTTGCCTCCTGAAAAAGCACCTTTGGGACAACCGTGACCTGGATGGTTGGGGAATCTCCATAAATATGTCTGTGGAAAGGAACAGAATGCAGGGTTTCTGCAGCTGCTTCTTACCGTGACGTTCTTGCAGAGAGGCAGGGAATGAAGATGTCCACTGAGCTTGGTCTCTTTCTGACTGATTTAAGTTAGAACATTGTGCTTCGTAACCATTTAAGTCTCCAATCAGTAGCCCTTCGTACACAAAGATCATTCTACTGTTAGCGTATCTCACCGTATCTACAATCCGGCTTCAGCAGCTTGGGATAAATCTCAACTTGTCAATCATTTGTGACAAGATTAGCAAAACATGGATTCAGATTCCAAGTTGTTTTTTCCGTTTATGAAAATGGTAAGGAGGCAACTCTGGCAATTTTCTCTTTACCTCATTCCTAATACTACCATCACCACTCACAGATATCCCCCAGCAACTCCAGGTAGCCCACAAGAACATACTGATGTGTGTATATATGGATAGATAGCTAAAGAAGAAAATAATTTGAAAACCCCATGGTGTTAGCAGAAACTGTTCACGTAAGGAAACTTCGAAGTCAAGCTACATGTTTCCCAGAAGAAACTTTGTCTGTCAGGCCACAAACCAAATGGTTTAAGGCAAAGCATATTCTCGCCCTGCCATTAAGTCCTAGTCCATATTTATTAGTGCTTGAGCTAAGAAGCTTCTGTGGTGAAAGTAAACTGCACTAAACAAAATGTACTCAGCAAAACGCAGGCGGCAAGAAGTTAATTCAGCAGTTTATGTTGCAGCAACTGCAAAAGGCTGAGATTCAAGCATTCCAACACCATTCAATACTGCTAATGAGGTTTATTACTTAATGAGAGGCCCTAAAAAGAACAGCATGTATTTTATTTATGGGTAATAGGACATCAGTGTCAATTGCAAAGCAGGCTAAATGCTGTTGTTGGGTCTCTTGGTTTGTTAAGTTCACACTGGAGTGTGCATAATCTTTGCTCAGGGTATCCCTAGTGTGTGTGTGTTTGTGTATCTTTTCTCTATTCTTTGTGCCTTACATGTTAAATTTCAAGCAGTCACAGGAAAGGCAACTGCCATAAAGGTAACAGATTGCTGGCTTCCATTTATAGTCTAAGAATGGATGTAGGCAGCCTGGCTGACCCAATTTTCATTTATGGAAAGCTAAACACCACTGGGTTTCAATTGGAACTTACTCCTAAGAAGCCTGTAAGAAAAGCATCAATGAACACACTTTAAATTCTAAAATCTAAAACCAGCCTTTTTCCCTTAGCATTTTGTTCTACATTTTGCTTATAGACAGATGTACCCATCAATCATGTGAAAATGGCCCATCTCCCATCAGAAATATGAAGTATATTTTTAAAAAGAAAGTACAGCATCTAAAATACCTTCAGTGCACTTTTTTTTTAAAGGTGAATTATACTGGTTAAACAATGTTGTGGAGAGAACAACAATGGAGAGAAGGAAGGAAGGAAACAGGAAGGGTCTTGCTAGCATTGGACTACAGGTAGTCCTCGACTTACGACTGTAGTGAAGTCTGCCCACCACAGTCATAAATCATGACAATGTCATGACCTTCTTTTGATGATCATTAAGCGAATGCTGCAGTCGTTATGCCATCCCAGTTCACTATAGGTACAGTTTTACCAAAAAAACAGAAGTAAATGTTGGCTTTTGGCAAAACTGTCATAAGGCACAGTCAAGTGACCACATTTGACTGTGGGGGGTGGGGGGCAACCATTAGAATTTCAAATTTGGGTCATAAGTAGCTCCAAGCTAAGTCCTTTGTAACTTTGAATAGTCAATAAGCGACCAAGTCATAAGTTGAGAACTACCCATAACTGATTACGCCAACTCATCAGCGTTATTCATTTATTTTTTTCATGTATTAATTTATTGCCGTACAATCACAGGATTCTTGGAAGTTTCCAAAATTTGGGTGCAGGGACACACACACACAAATATGTATAATATATTTATGATAGAGACAGAGACAGAGAGAGAGACACATATGAAAAAAAATCCTAAAACAATTAAAACCCAGACGCAATACAGTAAAGGATATCTGTCCCAAAAGCCCTCTGGAAAAGCTCTGTCTTTAGCTTTTTCTGGAAGGCAGATACTGTTGGATCCAAATAAACACCCAACAGGAGGCCATTCCAGAGGGACAACTCCATATAATGCTTCAGTCTCCCTCTCTCCCTCATAATAGTTCTGTGCAAAATTCACAGAGTATATTTTCACAATCTGGAGGTTAACTATACATTGTTAATTGTTGCTTTTATGTCTGTCATTGTATATCAAATGCTTATTCTTTTACACATTCCTAATTTCTTTCTGAGAAATTCAAAGTGCTTAATAGTTAAGCGTTAAATGATTACTAATTAAGAGTAGTTAGTAGTTATTAATTAAATAATTAACAATTAATTAATTAATAATCTTTCAATTTATTAAAACGTCTAGACAGTCCCTTGTATTTAAAACCAGACATTTGTTTAAATTATCCACAAGTCTATCCATCAGAAGACTTTTTGTTCTCTCGAACTAAAAAAAGCTTTCTCTAGGATGAATGGGGTTTTTTTTCCCCTTCCAAATTACTGATAGAGCTGTAAACATATTTATGCAAATTCGCTCGATTAACAATCTTAAAATTCACTGACAGATTCCTTTAAGCAGATGACAACTTTAAAATGAACTCTTTATAGCGTGGCTTGAAGCCATATAAGCAATAACTTTGAAAAGATGTATTATTTATTAAAAAAAATGCACCATGTATTAAAAGTTACTTACCAGACGGATGAGGCAAGGAGGACACCTGTGGTGTTGGCAAGAAATGCAATTGGAGGTTCTGCTAGCATCAGCGAAGATAATATGGACCCACCGAAACAGTAAAGCATAGCACTAAACCAACAGGCAAGTGGGCTGCCATATGCGACTTCAACTACTCCTGAAAACAAGAGAAGATACAAACAGCTCTTTATAAGGAATTTTCCTTTTAATTTTGCTGCAAAAGGAGAAAAGCCAACACATGGTTCTTTAAATTCCCTGATCGGCTTACTGCGCTAATGGCAATAGCACTTAGACCAGTGGTTCTCAACCTGTGGGTCGGGACTCCATTTGGGGTCGATCGACCATTTCACGGGGGTCGCCAAGCAAGGCTGTCCGCCATTTTTTTTGTCCGCCATTTTTTTGTCCGCCATTTTTTCCCCCTTTTCCGGCGGGTGCCTTACCTCCCTTGGGCTGGGCCAGCTGGTGGTCGGCCTGCTCCGTCTCTGCCGCTTGCCAGCTACGCCTTGGCCGGCGCAGGGGGCGGAACCACGCATGCGCGGCGCTCCCGGGAAGGGAAAGTCCTCGACTTACGACCGGTTGGGTAGTCCTCGACTTATGACCGGTTTAGTCCTCGACTTACGACTGGTTTAGTCCTCGACTTATGACCGGTTTAGTCCTCGACTTACGACCGGTTGGGGTCGCGGCATTAAAAAGGTTGAGAACCACTGACTTAGACTTATACACCGCCTCACAGTGCTTTACAGCCCTCTCTAAGTAGTTTACAGAGTCAGCATATTGCCCCTAACAATCTGGGACCTCATTTTACCGACCTCAGAAGGCTGGAAGGCTGAGTCAACCTTGAGACCAGAGCAGCATGTTCTAAGGAAAATAAAGGGTCTGAGAGGAGAAAGCTCTCAGTGAAAAAACATTAAAAAAGGAACCTTTGGATGGACAGAGCAGGTGGGTAATCAAAGCCATGGGAAAGGATGTGATGGAGGGATATAGTGACCCCATAAAATGGCAGAATAGCTTAAGAAAAATGGTGGAAGGTATGGGTTAGATTCAGTGAAGGCAAGGAGGGGAAGACAACAGAGTCACAACCTTCCTGTTAGTGTATACTATATATCAGTTTTACTCCTGACACTGCCTTATGTTCCTCAGCTGGTTTCACTCAAAAATCCAACATTTCTAATGTAGAAATTAAAGGAGTTTTAATGTTATTAATAAAAAAATAAACTAATGCTAAATGTTATTTAAATGCTGCCTTCGGATTTTGGCTGGAGTGAGATGAATAGAAGAGAATAGAGCTGGAAGGGACCTTGGAGGTCTTCTAGTCCAGCCCCCCGCTCAAGCAGAACCTATACCCGTGGTGGCGAACCTATGGCACACGTGCCACAGGTGGCACACGGAGCCGTCTCTGGTGGCACACGAGCCATTGCTGGGCCGAGCTGTTCCCTCCTCTCCGCGCATGCGTAGCTTTCCGCAGAGCTGCACATGCGCAGCTCTCCGCACATGCGCAGTCTGGGAATAGGCAAGAGGCTATAAAGGGAGCAACTTTCGGTGGAAGCAGGCACGGAAAGCGAGGCAGCAGCCCTATGTGCGTCCCCATGGGCGAGCGTGCCCTTGCCCTGCCAGGCAAGCGGAGCCGCGGCATCTTCGGCAGAAGAGCGCAGGCAGGCAGCAGAAGGCACGAGGAGCCCCAATCCCAGCACAGCCCCTCCTCCCCCCCTCGGAAGAGCTGCGGGGCTCAGGAGCCTCCCCCCATGCCCCCCCACCCGCTGAGCAAGATGCGCTCCTGCCCACTGCCCCACCCTCCAGAGCAACATCGAGTTGGCCATGCCCACCCTGACCACGCCCACCCTGTCTACCATTTCCACCATAGCCACGCACACCTGGCACCCAGCGATACATAAGTGGAATTTGGGTTGCAGTTTGGGCACTCGGTCTCTAAAAGGTTCACCACCACTGACCTATACCATTTCAGACAAGTAACTGTCTAGTCCAGGCATGACAAACTGCCAGCCTGCGGGCCAGATGCGTCACGCCAAAACCACACCCACCCCACTGCTGGCAATGGGGGAAAAGTCACGAGATGTTACGTGACGTCGCGAGTTTGACATGCCTGGTCTAGTCTCTTCTCAAAAACCTCCAGTGATGGAGGGCCCACGATTTCTGAAGGCAACCTGTTCCACTGGTTAATTGTCCTCACTGTTAGGAAGTTTCTCCTTAACTCCAGGTTGCTTCTCTCTTGGATCAGTTTCCAACCATTGTTTCTTGTCTTGCCCTCTGGTGCTTTGGAGAACAGTTTGACCCCCCTCTTCTTTGTGGCAGCCCCTCAAATACTGGAATACTGCTATCATGTCACCCCTTTTATTTAGACTAGCCAAATCCAAGTCCTGCAGCCATTCTTCTGAAGCTGAACACAACGTGGAAGATGTAGTTTACATGACTTTGATCAAAGTGGTAGAGCCCTTGCCTCAGTTTGCTGCAATTATGAAAGGGATCATAGTGCTACTCAGAAGGTGAGGGCCAGAGATGGTCAGAGTATACAAATAACTCTAAGTCAGGGGTCTGCAATCTTGACATGCTGGCTGGGGAATTCTGGGAGTTGAAGTCCACAAGTCTTAAAGTTGTCAAGGTTGCAGATCCCTGCTCTAAGTGTCTCTTAGGCAGCTTCTACTGAACAACATGGATCTAGCACTGCCAGAAAGTCAGGCTGCAGGGGAAAGAAATTCAGTCCAAATTTGTCCTTGATTAAAAACTAACTACTGCAGAATTTACTGCGGAAAGTATTAATACAGGGGTCTTCACACTTGGCCCTTGTATGACTTGTGGACTTCAACTCCTGGCTGAGGAATTCTGGGAGTTGAAGTCCACAAGTCATAAAAGGGCCAAGTTTGAAGACCCTTGTATGAATAGTACAACTTAGAGGAAAGAAAAATGATAAAATCTCGATTATTCTGAAGGCAGCAACAGTTGGGAGGGAACTAAGAAACCTGTCTGTAGAAAGTATCCACTCCTCAATCATCTTGAGTCACAAACAGCTTGGTCTGGAGAGCTTAGCTCGGAGGAACACACATTATTTGATTGAAGGTGTTACCTGATATAATTTGTATTCAAGGGACATAGTAACTGGAAACCTTGAATTTTAGAATCTGAAATTATGCTGTTGTTCATAAAGCAGAGCCGATTGGGGGAGACGGGCATATCCTCTTTAAGGAAAGTTTAAACAATTTAGACTCGATTAATCTAAAATTTCAGAGGGAATTCCTTTGAAGAAATCATACTAATGTTTATAATTCATGTTTCCTGATATATGATTGAATCATCCATTGATAAATACAAAGGGACTTTTTTTGATGTGGGCATTTCAATCACCATAGCTCTTTATGGGGCAGTGATAACTCAGATAGGGATGGGGATTGTTGGGAAACAATTTAGAGAAAAGTTTGAGTTGATTCTTTTTAAGAAGGGAACCCCCACTCAGTTTGATTTGTTTATACATAAAGTTTCTTCTTTAGATTAAATTGTTTCCAGATGTATCCTGCCTCATTGTGGCTGGGAAGTTCTCCAAGTCAATGATACAGGAAGTGATCGCTTCCCCATTTATTTCTCATGAAAGGTAGGATTTTACTGATTAGGCAGGGGTAGTCCTTTGTGGATTTGACAAGCACAAATGGGTTTCTTCAGACAAAACTATATAAATTCTGTTGGATTTATGGTGAGAAGAATGATTCAGGGGAATTTCAAAATATTTATACTGTGTGATACAGTTACTACAACTGATCAGGCTGTGCCTAATAAAATCTAAAAAAGAAAAATCAAATGTTGGTTTCATGACAGGTTGCTGAATGTGCTAAATCTACATGAGTAGATGAACATTTTCAAGATATTTAGTTGTTGATGTTAACAATCAAGAAAAGAACGCTGCAAAGACAGAACTATAATGAGTACATGGAACTTAAGAATCATTAAGGTGGGGAAGTTCAATGCAATAAAAAATGAAATGAAGACATCTTAGATATTAACAAATTGAAATGGACTGGAACTAGACCCTTTCAATTAGGAGATTATGCTGTCTACTACAGGGAATCCTCCATTTACAACAATTGAGCCCAGAATCTCGATCGCTGAGTGAAGCAACATGTCATGAGAACAATTCATACAACAACTATGATCCTGACTCTCCTGACTGCAGTCCATAAACACTGCATTAAGGTCATTAAGCCTTAATGCAGGGGAGAGGGTTCAGGCCTCCCAGGTATGGTGGGGCAAGGAGGGAGCCCAGACCTCTAAGTACATTCACAAGACCCAGGCCCTTTCCCCAATGGGGAGAACAATAGTACCAATGATGGTGTTTCCTAACATTTTTGCCAGATCTGAGGTCCGTTCCTCCAGCATGCTGAGAAAATCCATCATTGCGCTGGAAAAATGGGCCTTAAATTTGGCAAAAATGCTAGCAAATGTTCTGGAAGACTTATGACTATGTTGAAATTCTATATACAGTAGAGATGTCTACAACAAAGATACCTCAGAAGATATACTGTATTTATAAAAACTTTTGAAGATGAAGTTAGATCCTTTATTAGTTATTATTAAGTTGTTATCCTTGAGAAGAAGCAGCTTTACTTCCCAACCTTCTGGACGGCTAAAGAAGACACCTAGCGACCTCATTGGAAGAAGCACAGCCAACATTTCGCCTCCCTTTTTGGAGACTCTACAGGTTGGGAATGGTAGCAAAACACTTCCATTTCCATACTTACAAACTGTAGAACTCCAAAACAAAATTCACTGCAATTTAAGAGCACAATCCCAAGTGCCAAAGGCTGCAGGAAGCCTGAGTAGTACTCCCCCCTGCAATAAACCATGGTTTGACAATCTTAATGTCCGGTTTACATGTAACACTAGACCAAAAATCTGCAGGTCATGTTTTGCTTTAATATAATCTGTGAACGCAGACTACTGTCTCCAAAAAGAAACTTGATAGGTTTTGCTATTTGCAAGTACTCTACTGCAACAATAAAATAGCATAAAAGAAACATATAAATCTTATCACAACTCTTTAAAGGAATGTCACATCAGAATCTTTCAGTTTGTCTGAATGTTTTAATCCTTTATGCCAGCAGTTGCAGTAGGCAATTAACCCAAAAAATATAGCATATCTTTTGGGTTCACTTTATTTTTTTATTTTATTTGCATTTTAAATTGACTGGTGATTGTTATTATGATTATTAATGTCACTTTACGCTGCTTTGATAAGACTACATTTGGAATACTGTATCCAGTTTTGGTCGCCACAATACAAAAAAGATGTTGAGATTCTAGAAAGAGTGTAGAGAAGAACAACAAAAATGATTAGGGGGCTAGAGGCTAAAACATAGATGAACAATTGCAGGAACTAGGTATGTCTAATCTAAGAGAAAGATTAGAGGTAACATCTGGTTAATTCAGCAAAAAAAATTATCAGTCTTTAAAAATTTGGTTGTCAGCCTTTTTATGCTGGAGATTAGTAAATAGCAGGAATATTAGTGCAAATGTTCTGGAAATCTCTCCTGATGGTTCCTTACTGATTAGTCATTATTGGTGAACCAGATTATTGAGATGAAGTTATGGTTTAGAGAGCTTAACGTGTTGCTAAATTGTTCTTCTAAGAACTGGAATTATTCTATTTATGAAGAACTTTGGATTTGTGCCTGCAGATCCCTTTTTTAAAAGCCCCCAAACACAGGGAAATACAACTACATTTGCATGTTTGCAATTTACTGGGGATGGATCTTTACAAGCTGCGAATAAATTTATGTGTAAGAGTGCTGGGGTGGCTTCAAGGGAGACAATTTTTATCCTTTCTTTCTTTCTAAAAAAAATTTTCTATCAATTTGGAAAAAGTAATGTTAGAAAATGAAACCGAAGAAAGAAGTGTACTGTTGCCTTGCAAAAATTTGTACATGCCACAAGGCAACCTGGGAGCACTTTAGAAACTGAAATGGAGAGGCCACTGAACATTATTTTACACAATAATTACATTAGCATAAAAACAGCGTCCACAACAGATGGCAATACCTACCCAATGATGTCTATCTTTAATATTCAGTTTGTATTTTATTGCTCAGATAGCTTAGTGCCCATATCAGAACGGTATTCATAAAACTCAGAGCTGTAAATTTTTTAGATTTTTTTTTTATTCTGCCTTCATTTTTATAAATAACTCAAGGTGGTGAACATACTTAATACTTCTCCTCCTCCTATTTTCTCCACAACAACCCTGTGACTGTGAGTTGGGCTGGAGAGAATGACTGGCCCAAATTCATCAGCTGCCTAAGGTGGACATTAAAATGTCACATTACCATTGTAAGTTTCAGTTACTAGTAAAATAATTGTTACTTTTTATATCCTTGAAACCTCAAATATTAGAAGTTTTAAAATTTAAAATAACAATAGGTAGTAAAATAGAAATACCGGTAATTGATTTTTTGCTGTATTTTTCAATTCTATATGTCTGTGTGTGTGTGTGTGTGTGTGTGTGTGTTGGATGAAGCACCTGGTCTACCAAATATAGGATAAATCAGTCTGTTCTGCATTTCGCTCCAATTTAGGAACATTTTTTGTAGGCAAACGTCACTACTGTGAACACTGTAAATTCAAAATTTTGTGGCTTTAACTTTAACTCTTTGTCAGCCACAAAATTTTGAATATATACCGTATATATATATATATATATATGTTTTCTGAGGTTTTCGCGGGTGTTTGTATGTAGGTCTTTAGTTATTCGGGTTTTCTCCCGCGTAGAATTAAAAGTACCTTGGCGACGTTTCGACGAAGTCACATTCGTCATCTTCAGGCTGGTGTCTTCAGCTTCGTGCTTCTAAGAGTGGTGTGTGATCGCAGCTGTTTCTTCCTT